AAAAATATGTCACGCAATACTGTCAAGCTACTTGAAACACGCCAAATTAACCTCGGAAAGCCTATAAATCTTAAAACAACTATAGTCTCAGCATTAAATTAAATTTTTAGAATGATATTGTTAGAAAACTGAAGCAAAATCATTACTTTTGAGCTTATTTCGACACTCGGAGTTACTGTCCGCGTGGTTGTGTACTGGATAGTACACCAAGGCTTTCCCATACATTCCCTTGTAAAGTAAGACCATATTCAAACGCTTATATTTTTGCTAAAAAATCGCAGTTTGACTTCAAACTTTGCATAATTGTTGGGAATTATATACTGTTTTTGGCCATGAACATGAAAAATTCATTTAGATCTTAAAACACAGCCTGTTGTAGTTATTTCTTGACCTGTCTAAAACGCATTGAGCCGTGATAATCCCATACCTTCTTACCAATTTTCGTTTGCTCGTATTTCTGTTAAAAAGCATTATTTTGGCTAAAAATTTCGCAATAATACTTTCATTTAGATGTTCTATCGAGGACAATAATAATATTTCGCTAATTTGGTCTCTAAATAGCATTTTTATAATAACACGTGATTATGAGCTGGGGCTACCTGTGGACAATTTGTGACTGATAAGCGACGAAAAAAAATAAATAAATAACTAAAAAAAATAAGAAGCCCGAAATTTAAACTCTGGGTTCCACAGGAACCCCGAGTAATTATTGAAGTCAACTGATTGTTCGGCAGAAAAATTATTGGACCTTGAACCAAACACCATTAAGAATATGATTATAGATTTACAATACAATGTCAAATTCAATACCAAAACCAAAATTGTGACAGTATAACATGACTAAAGTGACTGAAGTGCTAAAATCTTTATCATTTCTATACGAAAAATTAGAAAAACGTTATCCAGAAATAGAATATTTGCACCTTATAAAAATGGTAAAAGAAGCAGTAAAAAAATTGTTTTATTACTACATTTTTACTAAATGTGCTCTTTCTCTATTACAACGTTTTTTAAATGTTTCAGTTTTATATGTTAAAAAACCATCTTGTGTACTGTTATAAAAAAATATATTAAGTGTTCTATGTAATCTGTATATATACTCGTTCGATTTTCAATCATCAATTTAAATTACTTAAATATTCTATTTTGCCCACAGCACAAGATTGAAATTCCAAAATATTCATATAAACAGTTTTTGGAGTAACCACAAGCGCCTTTTTTTGCCTATGTCTTCAGAGCAGCGTGTCAAAATATACCAAACCATATTGGTGTCTCTCTACTTACCCGTGATGATGCATGGAAAGTTCATCTCCTATTAAGATTACAAGAACTCTTTAGATGGGTTTTCAACTGCCTGCAGTAAATTTGGTCTTACAATAAGCCTCAAGAAGACGACAGTAGTGCTATCCTTAACTGGAAACTACAGCTTCTCAGTGAACAATAAAACACTTGAAAATATTGCCTCTTTCACTTATCTAGGTTCCACCATAACTTCTAACCTTTACCTTGACAAAGAAATATCCATCAGAATAGGCCTACGCTGTCTTTGATAAACTAGAAAACCGTGTCTGTTTGAGGCCTGTGTTCTTTGTACTCTTCTCTATGGCTCCTCTTGCTGGACTACTCATCGTCATCAAGAAAATCGTCTTAGTGATTTCCATACAAGATCTCGTAGAGCTACACTCGGGATCTCTTAGAAAGACAAAATGAGTAACGAGAAACTCTTCCATGTTGCTGTCTCCAAACCTCTGTCATCCTTGTTGAAACTCAATCGTTTGAAATGGGCTGGTCATGTGCACAGAACTACACTCTGCACAGTGTTCTGAAGGATGGCAAAAGATTGGCCGACCACGCCTGAGGTATAAAGATATTCTGAAAAGAGACGTGAATGATTTCCACATAGATCCCGTCACTTGGACTACTCCACGTTGTGAAAGAAAATGTTGGCGTACCAATTTCAAGAACGGTATGCAAGTTGATGTTGAGGCTAACCTCAAAACGTTGAAAGAGCGACGTAGCTGTCCATCCACTATTGATCGGAAACGACTGAACCCTGCCTATACTTGGCAGCTTCCTAATAGGAGCTGGAATTTAAATCCACAATCGCGCACTTACTTGAGAGAATTGTATATTTATCTAGAAGTATTTTGAAAAAACGACTTCCCTTAGCAGACGGCATTTTTTCATATGAATGAATCTTCCTGGAATATTTTAAAAGTTTGATCATATTTGGTGGGGCAACATGAATTGAGTTAATTAATCAGTATTATAATAATGCACAGTTTTGAAGATTATAAAAGTCACACTCGAATATTTCATGTAATGTTTAAAGTCCGACAATGAGGACTGGACGGATTTCAAGTCCGCGCAAGTAAATTGCAAGGATTTGAAATCCCGTCCAGTCCGAATTGGAGGACTTTGAACGACTTCTCATACTCATTAATTATTCGGGAGGGGTAAAAAGCGAAGGAAATACATATAACAAAAATATATTGATTTATTGCATCTCCACTAAGGTTTTCAGTTTTCATAATTCTGAATACATGAAGCACGTTTGTTGTTCTTCAATTCCTTGACGGTTTTCTGAAACAAAAGCTATTCAAGATGTCTTTGTCTACTATTCATGGCATTCCTAATGAGTCTAATCCATAAGATTTATAAGTATGTTATCTTCCGAGGAATCGCATCAGAAACTCGGTGGTGTAATGGTATAAGACGGCGCATATAGACTGGACAGTAGGGGATCGAGTCGTGAGGGAGTCATGTAACAAAGACCTTTTTCACTAAATTAACGTTAAACTGATTATTTCTAATAATTTGATTATCATTAGCTAGTTGTAGTTGGAAACATGGTAGAAGTAACTGGAAATAAGGTAGAARTARCTGGAAATAATGTAGAAGTAACTTGAAAAAGGTAGAAGTAACTGGAAATAAGGTAGAATACAAAGGTACGATTACTTCCTCTGGTTTCAAGTTACTTCACGTGGTACAAATTACAATCAGGGATTGGCTGGATACCTCATGAATAATTAATGAGTATGAGAAATTACTTATCAAACTCCAACATATTTTACTAAAAATGTCAAAGGCAAAATGTTATTTTATCGAAGTATCAGGACAGATCTCATTGCTTGATAAATAAAATTATTCTATATTGCCCTAGATTAGCAGTCTTAGGAAGTCGAAATCAATGTTTTAATGTTGATTTATTATTTGAAATTTATATGACAAAAGATGTCCATTCCGATTATTTTTGTTATGGTGCTTGGTATGGTGCCAGAAGGCTTATATGTAAACAATTTTTTTTAGGGCTATGATTGTGAAGAAAATGTTATACCTGAAGGAACCATGATCATGATAAAGTGGGAGGATGGTAAACTGTGGAGAGCCAAAGTGAATGGACGACAGATTAATGTTACTTATCAGGTGGGAACCAAGGACAAACAAGTACAGTCACTATAACATAGTAAGAAGTATAATAATAATTGTCTCTGAAAAATTTATTGACTATTAATTGAATTTTTTAGGTCAAGTTTGAGGACGATTCTGTTTTGGGTGTTCGAAGAGAGGATGTGTACAGCGATGGTGCTGAATTGCCTCCTAAAGTACTCGATAGGATGGTAGGTACAACAGATGATTATCATGACCAAAACTAGCTGGTATCGCAATCACTCTCTTTTTTGTGTGCATTTCTTATAGTCAAATGCTACAGAGACGGCAAACCTGTCATATTGGGATGACTTGCCAAGAGAAGGCTCTAAACGACAACGCAAATCCAATCCACGATACTCCGATACATGACCTTTTCACAGACTATGAGTATATGACTGAGGGGAGAGTAGATGGCTGTCCTTTGCTATTGCTTTTTATGATTTGTAGAGAGCAATGGAATTTCTTCTTATGTTTCATACCTTGAATTACCATATAGTTTTTTCAATCTTGATTTATATTATAGATGATGAAATTTCCTAATTAATGTTGCATAATTTCCTACAAACCTATAGTAAACGCCCGTACTTAGGAACATTTATTTTTCGAAAGTCTGTCAAAAAAAGGCTATTATTTAAAGGGGGTATTTGTTGGTGATTAGGCAAAACAGGCTTCTAATTGCTATAATGGAGACATTCAATAAGCTTGGTTTTAACTAACATTATTTTAGCAATCGAGACTCTCAACAAARAAATCACTTCGTAATTGAAAATCCACAATAGTAAACTGTGTCTCTTATGCAAGTAACTTGTGAGGTTGTTTATCAGGTAAGCAACTGTAAGGTATACTGCAATGTAAGAGACTGCTTATTCATGCTTAGCTAAACAGGTTCTTATACAAAAGGGGGTATTAAAATGGCACATTTCTGCAAAGAGTTTTCCAATACATTAGGTTCTTAAAAGTGCTGTGTGTACTGTATTTCGTGGATATATTGAATACAGTATAATCGTTTGATGGATCTGACTATGCACTAACAATGCTAGTGTTCATTTGGCTATGCAATGAGAAATACACGCTGCCTTCTGCAAAACAGTTTTTCATATATTTTTTTTGATATAAATACATTTTATGATTTAGACCGCACACTCTTAAACTGTGAAACATGAGTACTAGCACAAATATGTTGCGTTACTATGTGTCACAGATGAAGTATAATAACTGACATACATTTCATGATTGCAAACTATTTATTCTATTTCAATTTTTTTTGAAGACCTTTTGTAAATATTAGCTTTGAAAACTAGAGTTACAAAATGAGTTGTCTTCCTAGCTAAACAATGCTAAAAGGTTCTGGCGTTGACTATTCTCAAAATTCCAGTGCAAGCGAGCTTAGCCTGGAACATGAGTGTGTAAATTGATTGATTTGATTGTTTTCTATCTTAGGAATGGGGGTATTCCCGACTGCACTGGAATTTTAAGAATAGTCAGTTGGCATGTTCATAAATGGAGAGTATGCGACTGCAAGCGATGCAAAATAATGTGTAAATTACGTTTGTTTGCTTTTTGTTTTATTTCATTTTTGCTTCTAATATTAGTATTTAAAGTTGTATTTATTAATAACAGACAGCTTTGATATATTTTGATACTGCAGTGATTTAGAAACTGACTGTTTGTTTGTGAATTAAACCAATCATCAATATGCGTTTAGTAGGTCATTGCACTATACCTTTGAAAAATGGGATATTTGAACATAATAGGCCTCAGCTGCACAGGAGGGCACWGGAGTGGAACTTATGTGCACTCAAGCTAAGGATTGTATGTACCCAAGATTGCACGTGTAAGTCAAACCATAGTTAGTAGAGGGAGGCCTCTACTAACTATGGTCAAACAGTACGGTTGTTTTGTAACTTTACTATAAGAGTGTTTTTGACAAAATTGTTTCACAAACTTAGTAATAGCTTCACATACACTTGTTTCCAAGAACGTTTCATTTGTGTCTCCTTTTACTAGGGTTCGGATCCCCATTCACATACTTCCCCTCTTGAAAGAATGTTTTCTAACATTGTCTTCTTGGTTTTATAGTCTATATCTGGCATCAAACTGAACACTTTTTTCTCGGAAATTGTCATAATATGTTTGCATTTTTGATGCTTTTATTAACAAAGTCATTACAATGTTTATTGCACTAAGGTCAATTGCTTTCCTGTTGAAGTGTTCATGTCCTGTTATGTTCAGGCAATTCCAACGGTGAAACCATTGCATGGTTGGATGGATGGTTGTTTCAGTGGTCATATGTTGCTCTGTTTGGGGGACTTGACAGTGCCTCCATCTTAAGGGATTACCTTCACTCGCCCTCTTGACCTGTAGCTTCTTTTTCTTATAAGGTATGGTATTATGGGGAGCAAGGATGGCCGAGCGGTTAAAACGCCGGTCTATCACCGCCGTGGTCCTGGTTCGATTCCCGGTCCGGGACTATATGTAATTTGAGTTTGTAGGCTGGTTCTCTTCCTTGCTCCGAGGGTTTTTCTCCAGGTCCGCTGGTTTTCCTCCCTCAGTCAAAAACTAGCTGTGAGAAGTGTCGTGTGGTAAAATAATGAATGTTGAGGTAGTGAGTGTGAGTGAATATATAGAGGGCCACAAGTTTATTAGTCTAGAGACTATTACGTGCTACCCTCTCAAAATAAAAGACTTTATTTATTTATTTCTTTATTTGGTACGAGTTGGGTGATTTGTCTCTTTGTCATCATGGGTTGGTTCTGTCCTGGCTCAACGGGGATAGGGACTCCTGGGTAAAAGTACCGGGGATGCTCGTCGGATCTCTTAGGGTTAAAAATTCGTAATTGATAATCTTTTAGGGTGCCAATTTTGAGTTTCTGGAAATTTTCATTATCTGCAATCTCTTATTAGGGTGTCGAAAACGAAGAGAAACAGCGTATCGATATTGATTTTCCTCTGCTTTTTTATCTATCATGGCATCAAAACAAGATTTGCTTTGACGTACTTTGTCTATTTTAATGGCCGAAACCCAGATATCTTGACTGATTACAAGTCAACAAATTGGTCGATATTTGAAAACTCGTGAAAACTAAAAGGCTCGCCTGCTGGTGGCATGGGGGTGTTAGAACCGTCAATACGATTTGCGAGGATAGAAAACCTTGCCAAACCACTGATGAGCACGGAAATTGAAGTCATTCCTTTAAGAATCTTGAACGTGTCAAACACAGCTTATACGCTATACATATATATATGATATATACATAAGAACAAAATGAAACGACTAAAGATTTGGCATCATTTACTACTATATAGTTTCGTACCGCACAAAGAATTGTAAGTAGCCAAATTTAAAATGATTTACAACGGTTAATAGATATATGATATRGGCSRATTTACAATKATATWGCGTGACATGGTAATTAACTGATTGATTAAGATCTAAAGTTCTTTAGAAGGTATTTGCCTGCGTGTCTACATGATGTTACAAGTTGTAAATCATTTTAAATTTGGCTAACTTACCTGATGAGTGCCGCACAATTCTTTGTGCGGTACGAAACTATATAGTAGTAAATGATGCCAAATCTTTAGTCGTTTCATTTTTTTTTCTTATGTATATTTGCTCTAGTGTTTGCTATTGAGCACTCTGATGACATTTTATGTTCAATTTTTGTTCAATTCTCTTTAATATATATACAAGTGGAATGAAATAGAACAAAACACCAACTTGAAGCTATAAAAACTCTGTTTATTGGACGTTTCGGCACTTCGGCCTTCTTCAGCAAACTCTCTATATATATATGTGTGTGTGGAACTGTCGCTGTGTCTTGAGAGGGAGCAGTGGAAGTACTAACGGAGAATAACGGTTGTCATGGGAAATCTGTGCGCAGTGTTCACAATAACAGTACTTGCAGTATGGACTTGCACCAACACCTGCAAGCCATGTTTCTAGAAAGCAGCATAGAACTTACTGAGATACAAGAGAATCAGCTTCGCGTATTATTGGAGGAGTATGTTGACTTATTCGCTTCCTCAGCAGGTGAACTAGGTAAGACAGACGTAGTTGAATATAACATCGACACTGGCGAAAGCAGACATATAAAGCAGTCACCTCGCTGCCTGCCAATGCACAAAAAAATAGAGGCAGAAGAGCAAGCCAAGAAAATGTTAAAAAGACGGCATAATTGAGCCTTCATTCAGCGAGTGGTCTACACGTTTTTGCGTTGTTTATCGCAAACTAAATGAGGCTATTAAAGACTGTTACCCGTTGCCGATGGCCGACGCTTGCTTCGATGTCCTTGCGGGGCCAAAATGATTTTCCATGCTAGACCTGTCAAGTGGATACTGGCAGGATGCTTTATCCCCCAGATACCCCGAGAAAACAGGATTTACTACAGGATCCGCCTTGCACCACTTCACTGTTATGCCTTTCGGGTTAGTAAATGCCACCGCAACATTTAAAAGGTTCATCGAAGGAGAGTGTTGATTAGGTTACCTTGGGAAGTCTTTCTTGCATACCTAGACCATGTGATTGTTAACGCTTGCATTTTTGATCCGGAAATGGAGAGACTCCGTGAAGTTAATTTTAATTATGAGTTATGCAGGAGCAAAGCTGAACCACAAGAAGTGCCACCTATTCCAGAAATCGGTGACCATTTAGACCATTGGCCACACTGTAAGTGCGAACGGTATCTCAACAGATCCTAAAAAGACTCCGGACTTATCGGACTTTAGGGCATGAGACTACAGAATTCACCCCTAGCATGTTGATGCTTGGGAGGGAGATCGCCCTGCCTGTCGACCTACTGTTCGGTCAGTCCCCGGGCCACTCCAGTAAAGTAGAGAACCGATCTGACTACGCGGAAGGACTGTCAAAAAGGCTAGACACTATTCATGAATTCTCAAGGAAACACACGAAGCACATGAAATAACCCGGGGTATCATATAAGTAATCCTGATTGTAAACACATAAATCTACCTCAAGTATAAAATATTTCAATATTTAAAAATTCTCATAAAGTGTAAAGATTGTCCTGATAAAACTCTCTGCTTGACTTGTGCGAACATGTAGCTATCCATGATAGACAGATTTCAAAACTAAATGAGTTTTCTATATATAACAATATGTAATAAGCTATTATTCATCGGTATCACTCGAACTATCTTCATTATTACAGTATTTTATTCACACTAATAAGATGGACAATGCAAGACAATCTAAAGGATTGGTGATACTCCTTTATGCCGAAGACTACCAAAAGGATTCGTAAAATACACTAATAAGCTGCAAAGATCAGTAAATTTTTAATAGAACCACAGGTATGTATAAATGTACACAATATGAGCGGCCGATCTGTATTTGGAAATAAAATGGCGAGCCAAAGGCGAGTCATTGTATTCCCAATGCAGATTGGATACGAATATTGTATATGACTTAATATGATATTCATCATTGAGCACATAAAGTTACTTTAAAAATTAAAAAAAAAAATGAAAAGCAAAAATTACTGGAAAAGGAAAGGAAAAGGTGTTGGGTGCTAATCGTCCTTCATGGCAGCATGGGTGCTGAATTRCGAAAGACGCAGCTCGACGCGCTCTCAAGTCAAAGTGCTATATTACAGACACATTTTACAGACACTTACACATAGGCGTGATGCCGGCTAGGCGCTTCCTTTACATAACAACGAACGACTGAACGCGGAGCACAGCAGATAGAAATGGTTCGTTTTTACTGAGGGAGGAAAACCCGGAAAGACCCGGAAAAACCCTCGACGCAAGGGAGAGAACGAAAGAAACTCAAATCACATATGGTGCCCCGATCGAGATTCGAACAGGGTCCACAGAGGTGACAGGCCAGCGCTCTCACCGCTCGGCCACCCATGCGTCCCGACAACTACAACTTTTCTTATTGTCCAGCCACAGATACACCCCACAAGTTTTAAAAAATGTCCAAAACTTCAATAGAAGAATGCAGTAAGTCAGTGAATCTCGTTAACTCCTTGTGTAAAGACAACAAAGTACGTCAATCGAACTTCAAACTTCTTTTACAACGAATTGTATTCACAAGAAAAGAGCTCTATCGTTCTAATTTAGCTTCTGAATCCCGGTTCATACGTCGAGCCACCGTCGCGCCGAAACAAATAGTTTTAATTTAGCACTTGAACAGCTCGACGTATGAATCAATTGAGTTCTGCGCGACCGTAGCACGGCAGTGGCACGGCAGAGTCAGTCGTGCTGCACGGCAAAAGCTCGACGCTGATTCAAACGTCGAGCTGTCATCGTGCCGAACTTAATTCACAAAAATATCTGTTTGCGAATCACTTTACAAAGCACTCTTGTCATCCCACATTGAATACGTATAAAGTAAAATAAAACGGCTCTTGGCTGTTTTACTGCAATCGGTTGATATCCTGCATTGGTCAATGGTCAGGTTTCAAACCTGAGACCTTTGCTAGGGTCATGACCATTATATCTGATAAAGGACACCCTTATTGGCCCCCCTATTAGCATTCTTTATACTTTATATAAAGAATACTAATAAGGAGTGTTTTATCAGATATAAAGGCCCATGCATGTGACCAAATAGGCTCATTCTATTGGCCTAATAACTCATTAATCATGTATGAGTTTTTGAAACACTCTTCAACGGTTGTGGCGGTCCCAGCGGTCCCTAGCGCGTCACTAATTTGCACTGTCTCCAATATT